TGGGGAGGGTCCTGCCGTGCCCCCAGCTCACGGGGTGCTCACAGGATGCTCACAGGGTACTCACAGGGTACTCACAGGGTACTCAAAGGATGCTCACAGGGTACTCACAGGATGCTCACAGGATGCTCACCTGTCCCCAGGTGCTGGTGGTGGACCAGCTGAGCATGCGCATGCTCTCATCCTGCTGCAAGATGACCGACATCATGACAGAGGGCATAACCAGTGAGTACCCCCTCCCTGCCTCCCACACACCCTGTGGGAAGGGCCAAATCTCCCTCTGCACCAGGGCAGCTTCAAAGGCATCTCCAGGCTGGCCCAGGGTGGTTGGCAGAGCCCCCACGCAGCCCTGTCCCACTTGGGATGGAGCCATCCCACCTCCCATCGCCCGTGGATGGCTCCTGGTGCCAGGCTGGTGTTCCACAGGTCCCTCCTTGCCTGCTGGGGCTGGAGCAGCCAGAACACCTCGTGTCCTGGAGCAGGTGTTGGTTTTTATCAGGCTAATAATTAAATAGCTCCCTGCCACACTTGGAAAGGAGAAGGAAATGCCAGGCTGGATGCTGGGAGGTGTTGGGGACAGTGGGGTTTGTCTGGTACAGCTTCATCCTCAGGTGATGTGAGGAGAAGCCAAGGGAACAGCAGCACAGACAGATCCACGGCTCCTGGGACCTGGTCCACAGCTCCAGCAGGACCAGGGGGCTGGGATGGGCTGGGCAGGGCTGCCCCAGCTCCTGGGTGGGCAGGGATGAGTGGAGGGGCTGCCATGGGGTACCCAACCACCACGAGGTGTCCAACAGCCCTGTGTGGCAGAGTGTCCTGCCCACAGCCCCCCCTGCCATGATCCCTGTTTTCCCCCCCAAGTTGTGGAAGACATCAACAAGCGCCGGGAGCCGCTGCCCAGCCTGGAGGCCGTGTATCTCATCACCCCCTCCGAGAAGGTGAGTGCAGTGAGGGACACAGGGACACAGGGACACACGGACACAGGGACACCTCTGGCCAGGCTGAGGTGCTGGGATGCACAGCTGTGCCCACAGGAAGCATCCTGGCTCCAGTGGTGCCAGCAGGGTGATGGGATGGAGGTGCAGAGCTTGCTGTGAGCCAGGAGGGAGGCCCACGGTGCCACCCTGCCCAGCCCAGCTGCTCCCTCTCTCTTCCAGTCCATCCATTCCCTCATCAACGACTTCAAGGATCCCCCCACCTCCAAGTACAGAGCTGCCCACGTCTTCTTCACTGACTGTGAGTCCTTGGAGGGGAGGGACAGGCACTGAAATGGTGCCAGCAGGTGGGGAGGGATGAGGGATGGAGAGGTGCTGAGCTCCCTCCTCCTCCCCTTGCAGCCTGTCCCGATGCCCTCTTCAACGAGCTGGTGAAATCCCGCGCCGCCAAGGTCATCAAAACCCTGACAGAGATCAACATTGCCTTCCTCCCTTCCGAGTCCCAGGTGAGCCTGGGCTGGGACAGGGCGTGGGACAGCCCTGGGATGCTCCAGGTCCCTGTCCAGCCCGTCAGGGTTTGTGTAACAGCCTTGCACCCCCAGCTGGCTCCTTGCTCTGCCCCCCTGTCTCCTTAGATTACTTCCCGGGCTGATCCCGTGGGGGATTTAGCGGGTGCTGTGCCTTGGCCTCGTGTCCACAGCTGTGCTGGCCAGCTCTGCCAGCAGCCAAGGACACCAGGGAGCTGGCCCTGGGCCATCTGCCCCTGCTGGGGACAAAGGGACCAGGGGGTGGACGGTGCCAGACCTGCTTGGTGCCGTTAACCCTTCAATCCTCAGCATTCCGAGGGATCTTTGGCATCTTCACGTGGTTTTTGCTGGGGCACAGCTGCTGGGGGACTGTGTTTCTGCTTGCCCCCAGATCTCTGTTTCCCTGTTTGGGGCAGGGGTCCTCTGCCTCTGCTCAGCTGGGAGGGACACATGGATAGGGATCCTAGCTTGGAGCTGGAGCTGAGAGCTGGAAGTTGTGAGGGATGCCCTGAGCATCGCTGAGCTCCAGCTGCTTGGTCCCAGGCTGGGCTGGGTCCATCAGGGGATGAATCTGACCCAGACCCAGCTGGGGTAGGGCTGCTCTGCTGCAGCCATCCCCTCTGACCTCCCTCCCTCCACACCCCCAGGTTTATTCTCTGGATTCAGCCGACTCCTTCCAAAGCTTTTACAGCCCACACAAGGCCCAGATGAAGAACCCGATCCTGGAGCGCCTGGCAGAGCAGATTGCCACGCTCTGTGCCACGCTGAAGGAGTACCCGGCCGTGCGGTACCGCGGGTAAGGCCAGCCTGGGCAGGGATGGGGCTGCTGTGTCCAGAGCTGGGCTGGAGCCACGGGCAGACATCTGTGCTCAGTGTAAACAGCCTCAGGCTCGGTGATCTGGGGAGCTGGGCGGGTTGGGATCCTGAAATCTTAAGTGGCACCAAGGCAAAGTGGAGCTGGTTTAGGAGAGATGGGAATGAGCAACAAAACTCGCTCGGGTCCCTGCTCTCCCATGAGCCAAAGATGTTGTACGGGGAAGCCAACATCTCCTCCCTGTGCTGTGCCCTGTGGGGCTGACCTGTCCCCCTGCCTCCCCAGGGATTACAAGGACAATGCCATGCTGGCACAGCTCATCCAGGACAAGCTGGACGCCTACAAGGCTGATGACCCCACCATGGGCGAGGTGAGCGCTGCTGGCAGCCCCAGAGGAGGCTGCTGAGGGTGGTGCTTCACTCCTGAAGTGCCTGTGGCAGCCACAGACCCTGAGTGGGGACCCCAGAACAGCCCCTGAGCTCCTGTGGGGCTGAGGGGGCCCCCAGCCCAGAGCTGATGGCTCTGCTGTGTCCGCAGGGTCCGGACAAGGCTCGCTCCCAGCTCCTCATCCTGGACCGTGGCTTTGACCCCGCGTCCCCAGTGCTGCACGAGCTGACCTTCCAGGCCATGAGCTACGACCTGCTGCCCATCGAGAACGACGTCTACAAGTGAGTGCAGCTCTGCCATCCCCACCCCCCTGGGACCCCCAGTCCTAGAGCAGGAGGTGGGAGCTCAGCATCCCTCCATCCATCACTGGTCCTCCCTTGGGCCAAAAAGGGCTTTTCCAGCCTTCAGCCCTCGGCCTCTCCCCAGCATTTAGGAGTGAAGGGGTACAAGAAGAGAAGAGGTTAATCCCAGCTGAAATCACTTTGCTACTGGCACAGCCAAGAAGAGCCCCCATGTCCCCACCACGTCCCTAAACCCAGGTGTGAGGGGACTGCGTGTGCCCCCATCACCCTGTGACATCCCTCCCCTCACCCCAGGTACGAGACGAGTGGCATCGGTGAGGCCCGGATCAAGGAGGTTCTCCTGGACGAGGACGACGACCTGTGGGTCACCCTGCGCCACAAACACATCGCTGAGGTGTCCCAGTGAGTGGCCCTGGGGCTGGCTTGCTGCCTGGGTGGGACACTGGCTTGGCATTGCCACCCACCCCGCTGTCAGGGTCCCCTCCCCGCTCACAGCTCTGCCCTCCTGCTCTCTCCAGGGAGGTGACCCGGTCCCTGAAGGAGTTTTCTTCCAGCAAGAGGATGAACACGGGTGACAAGGTGACCTGATGCAGCCACCGAGCTGGGGACGGGCTCGGCCGTGGGCTGGCACGTGGTGGGGTCTCCTGGGGCCAAGGAGGAAGGGTGGCAGGTTCCTGGTGGGGGGAGATGGTTGTGGGGTGCCAGCCCTACACCTGGGGCTGGAAAACGGGGTGCTTTGGGGCAGTGGGATGTAGCAGTGGCCAGGAGCTGAAAGGACCATGTGAGCCCCAGCCAGGCACATGAGGCTCCCAGAGGGAGATCCTCAGGGGGTTTCTCCCCACTGCACCCCAGTTTGCAGAGCTGCAGACCCCTCCTGCCTCTCAGCTTCTGGGGAGGAGACCTGGCAGGTGTCACCAAACCCCCATGGGGGACTCACGTGGGGACAGAAGTCCTTGGTGGGGTCATCCCCTCTCTGCTCGTGGCTCCCAGGTCCCTGAGGGTGAGTGACCATGTCCCCTTCCCTCACAGACCACCATGAGGGACCTGTCCCAGATGCTGAAGAAGATGCCACAGTACCAGAAGGAGCTCAGCAAGGTATGGGGAGGGGACATTGTGTGCTCAGTGAGTGAGCCCAGCCGGGGAACAGGAGGTGGCAGCTGTGCCCTTGCCATGGCTGGTGGCACAGGGACTGCCAGCGCTGCAGAGGTGACCACTCTTGTGTCCCCAGTACTCCACCCACCTGCACCTGGCTGAGGACTGCATGAAGCACTACCAGGGCACTGTGGACAAGCTCTGCCGAGTTGAACAGGTACCAAACAACCCCCCCAGCCCCACATTGCCACAGGAACGTTGTGGGCTGCAGCTCCACCCTCCCAGGATGGAGTGGTGATGAGCACGTGTTCCCTGCAGGACCTGGCCATGGGCACCGATGCTGAAGGCGAGAAGATCAAGGACCCCATGAGGGCCATTGTCCCCATCCTGCTGGATGGCAATGTCAGCACCTATGACAAGATCCGCATCATCTTGCTCTACATCTTCCTGAAGAACGGTGAGGACGCCTGGGCAGGGGCGCAGATCCGGGTTTGGCCAGGACCATCCAGCTGGGAAAACCCGGCCCTGCCTCCCTGAGCAGGCTGAGTGTGCTGAGGTGGCAGCAGAGGGGCTGTGTCCCCCTGGTGAGACATTCCTGAGGAGAACACCACCTCCCCCCTTTGCATTGCCAGGAATCACCGAGGAGAACCTGAACAAGCTGATCCAGCACGCTCAGATCCCGGCAGAGGACAGCGAGATCATCACCAACATGGCCCACCTCGGGGTGCCCATCATCACAGACGTGAGTGTCCTCCTCCTGCCGCCCCCAGCCCTCTGTCCCCGCGGGGTGGCCCAGGGGGTGGCCCTGGTGCTGCTGTGCCTCAGGCTGTCCCTGTGCTCTGTGCACAGTCCACGCTGCGCCGCCGGAGCAAGCCCGAGCGCAAGGAGCGCATCAGCGAGCAGACCTACCAGCTGTCCCGGTGGACCCCGGTGATCAAGGACATCATGGAGGTGAGGCTGGGACAGGGCTGGAGGGCAGAGCAGGGAATTCCAGAGCCACCCAGGAAGGGACCTGCAGAGAGATGGATGCTGCCAGCCCAGGCCTGGACACCTCTCTGAGCGTGTGTCCTCTGGGCGTGCCCTGGGGAGCCTGGGCAGTGCCAGCAGCCTCTGGGGGAAGAACCTTGCCCTGCTCTGCAGCCTGAGCCTGGCCTGGCCCAGCTCCAGCTGTTCCCTGGCTGCTGTCCCTGTCCCAGAGCAGAGATCAGAGCTGCCCCTTCTCTTTCCCTCATGAAGAAGTTTCAGACTGCAGTGAGATCTCCCCTCAGTCCTCACAGCCCAAACCAGGCTTGCCCAGCATCCCTGGAATAGAAATGCAGTAACAACTTGCCTGGCTGTGTGTGTGCCACCACGGCCACCAAGGCTGGGTGGCCTTGTCACAGCCTTGCTTGTGTCCCAGCAGGGCCAGGGGACAGGCACAGCTCTGTACAGCTGTGTCTGTGTCCTCTGCACTGGGACAGTCCTGGGCAGTTCAGTGCAGCCTCTGCCCTCAGACCACAGCTCACTTTGGGTCCCAAAAGCACAGAGCTCGTGTTTTCCTCTGCCACAACCCCCAGGACACCCCTCAGCCTCACCCCCAGGACAGAGGGGCCTGCCCAGGGCCCAGCACCTCAGCAAGGTCTCCCAGGTGGCCCTGACCCTCTGCCACTGGTGAAGCAGCAGCAGGTCCCCCGTGCTGGAGGGGGATCCCAGGGCCGAAACCTCCAGCTCCTGAGCTTCTCAGGAGAGGAACCCTGGGCACAGCCTGAGGGGCTGTGGGGACAGGGGCTGTGGCAGGCTCCTCGCTGAGCCCAGGCCCGTGGCTGTGTGTCCTCAGGATGCCATCGATGACAAGCTGGACACCAAGCACTACCCGTACATCTCCACCCGCTCCTCCGCCTCCTTCAGCACCACGGCCGTCAGGTGGGTGCCCCTCCTCCCTGTCCTTCCCCAGCTGCATCACCACCAGCAGCCACCCCGTACCAGCCCCAGGGGCTGCATCCAGCTCTGGGAGCTGCTCAGGCATCCCGTGCCTCAGTTTCCCCTCAGGCACTTCATGTCTCCATTTCCTTGAGGCACCCCGGGTCTCAGTTTCCCTCCAGAGAGCCCTTTAGGAATCCCTTGTCTCAGTTCGCTTCAGGCGTCCTGTGCCTCAGTTTCCCTTCAGGCACTCTGTAGCTCAGTTTTTCTTTAGGCATCCCGTGCCTCAGTTTCCCCACAGATAGCCTGTGTCTCAGGGACACCGTGCCTTCATTTCCCTTCAGGCATCCCATTCCCCAGTTTCCCTCTAGATATTCTGTGCCTCCATTTCCCTTTAGGGAAGATGCCTCAGTTTCCCTTTAGGCACCCTATGCCTCACCTTTCCTTCATGCACCCCATGCTGCTTTTTAGCCCATGGCATCCTGTGCCTCAGTTTCCCTCCAGGCATCCTGTGCCTCTGTTCCTCTGTCGGAATCCCCTGCCTCAGTTTCCCTTTAGGAATCCCATTCCTCATTTTCCCTTCGGACACCTGATGCCTCAGTTTCCCTCCAGGCATCCCGTGCCTCAGTTTCCCATTAGGAATCCCATTCCTCATTTTCCCTTCGGACACCTGATGCCTCAGCTTCCCTCCAGGCATCCCGTGCCTCAGTTTCCCTTTAGGAATCCCATTCCTCATTTTCCCTTCGGACACCTGATGCCTCAGTTTCCCTCCAGGCATCCCGTGCCTC